CGCTACCACGCCCGGCTAGTTTTTGATTTATTGTGGAGATGAGGTCTTGCCAAGTTGCCCGAGTGGGTCTCGAACCCTCAGGCTCAGGCAATCCACTCACCTCGGCCTCCCAAAGTGCTGGGATTACAGACTAAGCTACTGAGCCTTGCCTGAATACGGTCTTTTTATAAAGATTAATACAAAAATGGAAACCTTTTTGCAACTAATCCTTGGATACAGATTTTACAGGCTGTTTGGATTCACATTCAAAAACGCTTCACTGAGGGCTAAAGCAGGACAGGAGGGGTGAGTGGGCAGGTGGCATGCCAGGGTCAGTCCCTGTCCTGGTCCCCACGGTGAGGAAAAGGGAATGTAGTGGCCAAAAGTTCAATCCGAGAGACCACCAAGAGCCAATTCCGATGAAAGTTCAAGAGGGTCTTTATTTGCAAGCTCGAGCCTGGACCTCTGTCGAAAACCAACGCAGCGGAGTACATTCAGAGGCCCTGACTTCCTTAGGCAGATGCCTTTTATGCTTTTACACAAAGGGAGGAGGAGTTTGGGGGGGCTTTCCAGTTGTGTTACCACTTAGTTGGGTAGTAACCTCTGGTGGTAGCTTAATCGTGGAGGATTGGCTAGCCTGACTTGGGCTGACCTTGGTCCACTAGCTAGAGAAGTTGCAGAGACATCTGGAAACTTAAGTGATTACCCCCTGGCACCTGATTGGATGTTGCTAAGGGGAAAGTGAGATAAGGGAAGGGGTTGAAGCTTGTAACTGGAGCTTTGCAGTTTTTTCCCATAACTGAAACTTTAAACAGTTACAGGTTATGTTTTAAGACAGAAAACTAAAAATGGCTGTGCTATTGTCCACAAGCCGATTACATATTTATTGGGTTATAGCATGCTCTTAGAACCTAAGTCTATGGTATACTCTATTACTGTCCTCTCAGGAGGGGCAGGGTTTACTGATGTGGATTATTCAGGAGCGCAGGCTGACCATGCCACCCCCACAGGGCCTCCCTGTGGTGTTTTCCCCCATCAGGCATACGCTGTGCCATGACCACCAAGGGCCCTGACATTCTGGCTAGCTAGCTGGCCTCACTGAAAGAGCAGGCCTGCTTGTCATGTGGCTTTTGGGATACTGAAAAGAGTTTGAGGACCCCCCCCCAAGGACTACCAGTGTGGACCCCTAAGGGCCCAGGCCTCCCAAACAAGGAACAGCTGTTTAAGAGAGCAAATAATGGCCGGGCTCAGTGGCTCAACCTGTAATCCCAGCACTTTGGGAGGCCAAGGCAAATGGATTGCCTGAGCCCGCGGGTTCAACACCCACCCGGGCAACTTGGCGAGACCGCGTCTCTACAATAAAACTACACCCGTAGTTCCAGCTACTTGGAAGAGTAAGGCAGAAGGATCACCGGAGCCCAGCAAGTCGATGCTGGGGTAGCCATGAGTGTGCCACTGCACTCCAGCCTGGGGGATAGAGTAACACTCCAACTAAAAAAAAAAAGAGAAGCCAGGCTTGGTGGTTCAGCCTGTAATCCCGCGCCTTTGAGAGGCTGAGGTGAGTGGATTGCCTGAGCCCGCGGGTTTGAGACCCGCCTGGGCAGGCGAGACCTCATCTCTACAATAAATCAAAAATTAGGCGGGCGTGGTAGCATGTGCCTGTAGTTATGGTTGCTTGGAAGGCTGAGGCGGAAGGATCGCCGGAGCCCAGCAGGTCGAGGCTGTGGTGGCCGGGAGCGGCCATTGCACTCCACTCTGGGCAACAGTGAGACTCCAACTCAAAAAAAAATAAATAAATAAAAAAGGAGAGAGAGAGTGAGCAAATAACACCACCCCTGGGGCATTTGGATGTGTCTTAGTGCTCTGCCTCACATACTACCCTACAACTGTCTTTTTTTTTTTTTTGAGTTGCAGTCTCACTCTGTCGCCCAGACTACAGGCTTGCTCTACCACGGTCGGCTGATTTTTTGATTGATTGTAGAGATGAGGTCTCGCCAAGTTGCCCAGGCGGGTCTCGAACCCACGGTCTCTGGCAATCCACTCACAGGGTGAGCCACCGAGCCTGGCTTTTTTTTGTTTTTTTGTTTTTGAGTTGGAGTCTCACTCTGTCCCCCAGACTGGAGTGCCGTGGCCGCTCCCGACCAGCACAGCCTCGACCTGCTGGGCTCCGGTGATCCTTCTGCCTTACTCTTCCAAGTAGCTGGAACTACGGGTGTGCGCTCCCTCGCCTGGCTAGTGTCTTTCAAAGCCAGGAGGTAGCCCCCTCCTCATCAGCCTCCTGCCTCCCCAGGGAGGAAAGACTGAAATCCACAAGGTCCCTCCTGTTCACTTGGGTCATGCATTCACTTCCTCAGCATTTCCTGACCTCATCCTCCTCTACAGACACCTGCAGCCCCCTGAGCCAGGAAGAATGAAGATGGGCGGGGGAGGCAAGTACAGGCATTTTGGTGTGAAAGGTCACGCCTCAGTATGAGGTTTCTATGGCCCTCCTTAACTTCATCACAGGGGCAGCAGCTTGTGGGGAATAAGTTATTGGAATTGGTGCGAAGGCTCCAGGGAGAAAGGTCACCACGAGGTCACAGTCAAGGCTTGCTCAGAGGACTCCAAGGACATTTTACCCTGGCCAGACCTTCAGAGCACACCCTACACATTCTGCTCTCCTGTGCTCTCCTGCCTCCAACATGACCGTCTGGAAAGAGAACTTGGGTTACTAGTTTCTCTGGGAACAGGCCAGGCGGGGATGGAATTCAGGAACACCACCAGGGGCATCGTTTGGTCTGGTTCCGGAATCCGTTGCCCTCGGGATTTTCTCTCTCATGACTTGTATCATTTCCTCTTCTGAGTCAATCATTAACCTCACCGAGAGCCATCGCTTGAGAAGCCACAGGAACAAGTGGCTGGTTGAGGCTGGAAATGCCAAGGTGGCTTTATGCAGGCTAGAACTCTCAGCTTCCCCAGACAGATGGGTTGAGTGCCCAGTTTGGCCCTGCCAAAGTCCCCAGACAGTGGACTGGCACGGATCCAGCCTCTCCCGCAGGCTTCCACATGCCCCGCTGGGCAGGTCAGACAGCAGAGGCCTGGATGTGGACAAAGCTCCCTTGCTTGCAGGCAGGGCTACCCTCTGGGGGCTGAGTGTGTGGGCCGATGGCTGAGGGTAGGAGAACAACTTTCCCCAGTGTTAAGGAGGGTGGTTTAAGATTAACCCACCCAGGATAGCATCCACACCCTTGCCAGGCTATAAAACACACGCTGCATGAGAAGCTCTGCTCTTGAAATAACCCAACTTCCCCACGGAACTGTTGATTACAGTCCTCACCACCACCACCAGCCCCAGACTCCAGGGTCTGCAACATAGAAATTGACCTTCCTGGTTTTAAAGCTTACATTTGTCTTTCTCTGGAAACCAGCCCTCAGGCTGATAGCATCAAGGAATTGAAACTCTCCAGATCACCAATCCAGACAATGAGATGCCAGACCGCTCCTTAATTCTTGTTTACCAACTCCTCTTCCTTACCTCTCCTCCCTAATTCCTGTTTTCTACATTCCTGCCTCACTGTATAAACCACTGACTTCAGTGGGATGGGAAGATGGATTTGAGACTGAGTCTTCTGTTCTCCTTGGCTGATGTCACCCAAATAACAAGCCGTCTTCTCTAACAATACTTGTTGTCTCAGTGATTGGCTCTCTGTGTGGTGAGCAGTAGGGTCCCAACCGGATCCCTAGTGTTTCAGTAACACCCTGGGCAGTAAGGACAGCAGTCCCAGCCCCTGCCTGGACCTAGGTCCTCAGCTTATCATTTTTGGATTTGAGATAGGCCTGAGTTACTCGATTTAAGCCCCCAAACCCCAATGAAGCCACTGACTCAGACAGATCAGCCTCACCCTAATCTGACAGGTGTCACCTCTCAGTCTGGCCACTTGGCCCAGGCCTTGCCCACTCTCAGGCAACAAGACCTTTGGAGACAGGCCCTGGTGCTGAGTGGCCAGAACCAGTCAGGAGTTCCAAGGCCAGGAGTCTCTGCAGGGGTGGGGGGTGGGCTGTGCACCCTAGTCAGGAGTCTCTCTTCAAGACCACCGGATTGTCCCCCATCCTCAGGGGTACTCCAGCCTGATTCAGAGCCCTTCTGTGACTGAGGTAAGGAAGGGGTCCAAGTCAGGTGTGGTGGCTCAAGTCTGTAATCCCAGCACTTTGGGAGGCCAAGGTGAGAGGATTGCCTGAGTCCAGGGGTTCGAGACCAGCCTGGGCAACTTGGTGAGACCTCATCTCTACAATTAAAAAAAAAACAACTAGCCAGGCATGGTGGTGCTCGCCTGTAGTTCCAGCTACTTGGAAGACTGAAGTGGAAGGATCACCTAAGTCCAGCAAGTCGACGCTGTGGTGGCCGTGAGTGTGTCACTGCACTCCAGTCTGGGCGACAGAGTGAGACTCCAACTCAGAAAAAAAAGAGAGAGTTGGAGCTCAGGCAGCAGGCCTGGAGGCCGGTTGGCCACTGATCCCTCTCCACTCTGGGCACAGGGGATCACGCAGGTCCAGTGACCCTCCCCGGCGCACCTCTGGTCAGCCAGCATTTAGCGTTCAGCTTTATTGGTGGCCACTGCCTATGGCTCCGGCTCGGGGCACTGCTTGGGTTCCCCGCGCTGCTTGAGCATGACTGACGCTCCGCTGCTGACCATGACCGCTGGGTACAGCGGCTCGAGGAAGGCGGTGAGGAAACGGTAGAGGAGGCTCACACCGCCCGCCAGGCCATAGAAGGAGAGGCAGCCGGCACTGCAGTCCAGCGCCACGCCCAGCGTGCGGTGGTAGGCACCGTGCAGCACCGTCTGCGTGTTGTTGTGCCACACCGAGAACTTGAGCGAGTCCCACTCCAAGCACCACGAGTAGGCATTGCGGCCCAGCAGGTAGATGATGCTGCGGCTCGGGTGGCCGCTGAGCGGTGGGCTGCGGCGGTAGGTGACGCCCAGGCACACCCACGCGTTGGACACCTCGGCTTCCCAGTAGTGGCAGCCCCCAGAAAGGCCCCGTGAGCACAGTACCTGTGGCCACTGCTTGAAGCCTGGTAAGGGGCCGCCCGCGGCCAGGGGCTCCAGGAGGATGCCCGGGTTCAGCACGGAGTAGGTGTCTCTGAACAGGAGCAGGTCCTCGCTGGCCGTGCTGGGGTCGAAGTTCAGGTTGCAGTAGCCTGGAGGTGGGGGGAGCCAGGCTCAGGGACCCCAGGGCGGAGCACAGCAGGCCCCAGGAGAAAGGGGGGGAGGGGGCTGAGTTGCAAGGCATTTGAGATCCTAGGAACGCCCCCTCTACCCACCCCCTTTCAGTCCCCCAACTCTGGCCTGGCTGCTGCTGACATAGCCTAGAGAGGAAGGATGAGTCTGGGTGTAGCCCAAAGTTCCACCTTGCCAGAGAGGCTGGGGACCAGGAGTCCCCACCCACCAGATCCTAACATAATCTCCTTTTTTTTTTAAGTGAGAAAGCAGGATTTATTACGAGGACAGAAAAGCTCCCACCGTGGGAGGGGATCCGAGGGGGTTACCGCTAATCTCCTTTTTTATCTGTCCCCAACACAAGGCTGAGTGGCACTGGAGGAGTCAAGGGCACCTGAACACCAAAGACCATACAGCCTTGACCCCCAGGATCTCAGAGAAGCCTTTGGGATTTGGACCCCAGCCTAGCCTGGGAGGGAGGCTGCAGGGAGATGGTGTCTGAGGAAGAAATGGACAGAACCCATCTAAGCTGGCTTGGCTAAAGCCCAAGAGAGGTTGGCGGTTGTGCCACATAAGCTCCAGGAAGCAGCTGCAGGGCTGGCCTCTGAGGAGCGAGAGGCCTTACTCCATTCACAGCGGCGGCACGGGACAGGGTCTTCTCCCTTCCTGTCAGAGACCTGGGATCCAGGCTGGGTCCTCCTGAAGTCCTCACTTCAGAGAGGTCGGGGTAAGAGAGAGCAAGCCTCTTCCTGGAGGCCCCGGCCTGAACGGGAGTGGGGCTAGGGACGTTAGGGTACCCAGGGACCCTGCTCCTTTCTGCCCCACCCCCAAGGCCAGACCCTAGGACTGAGGACTTACACGTGAGGAGTGTCTTCCTGTCCACAGCAGGGGGCAGCACTTCATAGGTGGTCATCTTAATGCCTGAGGGACATGGAAGGGCTTGGCTGAGGATACTCTCACAGCCCAGTATCCTTCTGGAGAGAGGCACGGGCATCCAGGAGGCTGTCTCACCTGGAGGAGGTGCACGTGGACAGACAGGGCTCTCCAAATGCCCAGAACCCCAACCACTGCCCTAGGATACTCTCACAGCCCAACGTTCATTCACAGTGCAACATTCATTCACAGTGCAGTCCCACCCCTGGAATGCAGGCCCCAGGCTGCCAAGGACTGACCCTTCAGAAGGAGCTGGTTGACAAAGCTGAGCCCTAGGTCCACCAGCCGGGTCCGGAGCTCAGCCAGGGTCTCTGGCAGCTGGAGGAAGCTCTGTGTGTCTTCACAGTTGGTGCCCATCAGGGGTTCCATACCGGATGGGAGGTGCTTCAACCTGGAGAACTCCTGGCATGCAGGGAGGGGCCAGTGGTACCAGGGCCCAGGAGATGCCAGGGGCCCGGTGGTCCCCAGAACCATGGGCAGATGGAGCAGAAGTTTCTGCTTTTCAGAACTGGGTATCTCCTTTCCTTCCCTCCTCTAGCTGTTAGGGCTCTGCCAAAGGCACAGTGGCCTAGTGCACCCAGTGAAGTGGGTTTTTAAAAAATGATGGATTTCTGCTGGGCGCAGTGGCTCAGTCTGTAATCCTAGCACTTTAGGAGACCGAGGCAAGAGGATTGCCTGAGCCTGGGGGTTCAAGACCAGCCTGGGCAACTTGGTGAGAACTCATCTCTACAATAAATAAAAGAAAATTAGCCGGGCATGGTGGCATATGTATGTTGTTCCAGCTACTTGGAAGGCTGAGGTGGAAGGATTGCCTGAGTCTAGCAAGTTGAGGCTGTGGTGGCCATGAGCATGCCACTGCACTCTAGCCTGAGTGACAAGAGTAGGACTCCAACTCACCAAAAAAAAAAAAAAAAAAAAAAAAAAAAAA